AATTTTAAATACCCCAGGAAAGTGTTCTAGGTTCTTCGTGTAATTATGTGCTCGTATGCAAGGGATTTTTCCACACAAAAACGCCGAATCTTCAAAACGCCGTCGGGGCATTGTTTTTGGTTGAACAGTGTTACAACAATCGTACAGACAACTAGCCTGGGTGTTAATTTATGCATAAACTTGAAGTAGTGAAATTTGAGCTTCTGCCCTGCAAAATTGACAACTGGTAGACAGTTTTCAAGACGGCGCTTTCTTCATAGTAAACAGATGTACCCATAAACCAATTTTGACAGAAAACAGAAAAATGGTGTAGAAGCTAATATTTTTTTAATCACTTTTGACCAAAAAAGCACATTTTTGTGCATATTTCATATACTAACAAAATTTTAAAATTCATACAATAAGCTTTCCGAAAATATATAGTTTTGTGGACAAGGGAGGTCATCTTGGTTTCCTAATTAAAATACCTGTCAGGTAAACTGTATCTCTACCTGAATTTCAGATCTTACGTGTTCAGTAGCAGACTGAACAAACTGCCATAATAATAATAATACAGTGTGACAGAATGTGACTGTCATCCAGGCACATTAAATATTAAAAACTTATTCTAAAAAACGACGTGAAATGTTTAATGACATAATCATTATATGTTATTTAGTTATATATTCTTATTACGAAATACAAAAACAAGCATTCTGCTAACTTGAAGCAGCTGTTGATTGTATATTGAATTCTAAAATTATCAATCATGGTAACATGTGATCAATCAGCAAAATATGCACAGGAAGTTGATTGGATTGTTGACAGTATGAACTTAAATATTGCATTCACTGAAAGTGTTATTGGGTGTGCAGCACAAAATTGAATGTCCCATTGAATGTAATCAAAGGGCATTCTTTCAAATTTGTCACAAATTTACACTTTAAGAACACGTGCTTTTGTCAGCCCTTGTCACTAAACAAAGACGTGATGAGTAACGTATAGCAATGACACTGTTCCACCCGAGATGAACGACGTTAACAAAAAAATTAATTAACATAAACCACATGGATGTAAAAGAGAGGTTTCCTCGAGTGTTTATTTTATCAAATTGGAATTAAAGTGCCTATAACACTATTAAAAAGTAGATATAAAACACATTACCAAATTATCAAGTTTTGTAAATCACTGTGTATATTCGGTTGTACGGGAATTATATCATTCTTTTAATTTGGCAATTGATATGCAACATTGCTTACTCCATGGTTTTCCACGTGCGCAGTAGTTAAAACATAATAAGCCATATACCTACACTGCAGAATTGTATACATTAATAATGAATAAATTAATATTGTAAATATTGAATGGTGGAATTAAGGATTTTTAATTATATCATATATTGAATGGATACATGATAAGAATGTTATAGCATCTATTAGGCGGTGGTACTAATTATGTAGTTACATACGTGTTAAAAATCATTGGCAGTCCTGGTAATGGAAATGGATGTGTTCAATTTTGTGATTTATTTCTCCAATACAAAAACCAACGTGCAGACGTATATAGTTGTTACACCACATTATAGTTCACAGTATTACTATTACATGCATATGTAATTCTAGAGTATCAAACGCCTTTTTCATAAACACAACGCTTAATCAATATGTAGTATTTATGCTATAACATAAGCAACATGTAAATATGACAAATAATATAGATATCTCCGGAAAGTTGTGACAGTAGGCAGTGTGATGAGATATGTTTCATGTCTTCATTTGTCTAAGGACTGACATCCAATGTACACTATATATACGGGAAAAATAAATCAGACTTTTTGAAGGTCTGACCTCCCATCCAATCATCCTATATACACGAAGTATCAGTAGTTAAGGATGGACTATAGGGATGACCATGATGGCGCTGTTCATATTGGGATGCGATGACGTCATTCGGGGATGGATGACGTCACAATGGGAGGCTGTGCTTAGCATAAATAATGACGTCACAATGGGAATTCGTGCATAAATTAACATAAATGAGGACCAATGCCGTAAAGGGGATCATTTGAATAAGGATGACGTCACAATGGGATATTGTGAATACATTTGCATACATAAAATTGATGTAAATACGAGGTCGTGTCGAGGTCATCGTGAATATATTTGCATAAATTACCATCAATTTTTTTTTTATTATTTTTTTTAATTATTTTTAATTATTTTTAATTATTTTTTTTTAATTGGACAGGCGTGGACGAAAGATTTTCAGAATGTATCGTAGAGGGCGCTCACACACACAAACACACACTCTAATAAATACACGTCATTTTGAAAACTAACACAAAGTTTATTACACAAAGAAGGGGGAATCTACTAATGAGTAAATAATCAAAAAATGAATTAAAACTGAGTAATTGAATTGAGTATATAGAAAGTATACATTTTTGTTTTTGTTTTGTTTTTGTTTTTTTGGTTTTTTTTGTTTGAGTAAATAATCAAAAAAGAATGGATTAAAAAACTGAGTAATATAAGAATAAAAAATGACATTTTGAGTATATAGAAAGTATACAATTTGTTTTTGTTTTGTTTTGTTTGTTTTATTTCTTGTTTGAGTAAATAATCAAAAAGAATGGATTAAAAACTGAGTAATATAAGAAATATTCGATTATAATAAAAACAAGAGAAAAACGAAAAACATTGAAAAGTCAATACACACTTTTTTTCTAATCAGAATCGCTCATCTGTGATAAAAAAGAAAAAAGAGAAATATATATATGTGAAATTTCAAAAGCATGAGTCATCTAGTAAAACTGCGTGGGAAAAAATATTTGTCATAAATAGGGAGGTTGAGTCCGGTCACGTTTTCGATATATCTGTTCACATAAAGGTCATTCAAATGTCTATCACGCGTAAAAGAGTCGGCTACAGACTTCATAGGTTCCCCTCGACATCTGCGCAGTAAGTAATACAGGACGTATTGACCACAAACTGTAGAGAACGGAGCTTGTAGTATTTGATGATTGTAGACCCATGTACAAATGTTTTTATCGAGAAATCTCTTAAATTCCATGT